TGTGTGTGTGTGTGTGTGTGTGTGTGTGTGTGTGTGTGTGTGTGTGTGTAAATGGGTGTTGTCATTTACTGTACGCACGTGTTGACTTGTGAATAACATTTCCCAGAACAATGTTAATCCTCATTCCCTAGATACGATAAAATACAAACCCCAGAGGATTTGCTGGGATGGAAACGGTGGAAAAAATTGAGAGATACCGTAGACAAAGCCAAGAGGAAGGTGTAACTTCACAAAGATGAAGATAAATCTCTCCTTCAGTTCAGGGCTGAAGCTGCTACTGAGGACACTGAGGTCAAGTCCTCTGTATTTTCTCCTCTCTGAGTTTTAGCATTACATTATGATTTGACTCCTGCAAGGAGTTTTGACTTTCTGGGAAATATCAGTGTTTCCTTTCATGCCATAGTTGGATGACAGGATATGTAGCTCGAGCCAGTTAGCTTAACTTAGCACAAAGACAGTGAATGGGGGAAACAGCTAGCCTCCAGGAAGTTGCATGTGCCTGCCCAAGAAATAGTCCTGCACACAACTACTGACATGATAGTGGTGTCATTCTTCTAATTCTCATCAAGAAAACAAATAAGCGTATTTCCAAAATGTCAAACTGGGTCTGAATTTCCAAATAATTTCCTGAGAGGTATGTAATCTGATACTAAATATAGGGAAAATAGTGGCAGTTATTCTAGTCAGAGTTCAGTTTAAGGAGTTGCTGAATGTCCTCAACAAATCCATTAAATATAACTTGAAAAATACAAATACTTAAAATAAGACACTTTTATTTGGGTTTCCGGCTGGGGTTGTTGTTGGGAATTGAATTTATGACCTCAGTATTTCTAAAATCTTCACTACATCCGTGCTTCAGTTGCTTGACACACTGACATTCTGTATACATACAATGAATACGGTTATGTGGGGTTACAGAAACATACACACAGTAGTTCCAACCTATGCGAGTCCATATAGGTTTTACTGTCAGTCTTTCAAAATGCTTGCAACACACTCTCCAACCACGCTCGCTCCTCTGAGGTAATTATTGTTAATGAGGTGTTAACTTCAGAGGTAAGCTGCACAACTGAAGCTTTGCAACACCGCTAACAGATCCCGTAATTACACACGGATCCATCATCTCTGCTGAGTAATTGTTGCTTTATTGCTGCCAGGAAGAGGCCTGTGCCATCTTTTAAAGTCAAAGCTTGTATTCGATATTACAGTCCACAAGCTTGGTTAAGACCAATGTTTAAAAAGAGATCAGTCCCTGGCATGCAACTGAGTGCCATTTTGCCAAACTGTCTCCATCAAAAGCTGTTGCTCGGGTCGAAAAAAGAAAGAGTGCCAAATAATCGGTCCGATACTTTCAGTATTTATGCCGCCTCTCTGCGAGTCAAAGAAGCATACAGAGTAATAGTTGTAATGGCTGCAGTGTATTAAAAACACGCACTCGTACGCAGCGGTACGCTATTGACGTTCATTGATCCTCAGCGCTTTCGTTCTTGTCTCTCGGCTGTAAATCCCAGTCTGTCGTTTAGTAATAACGCACAACCAAAAAGGTCATCCTCAAATCCCTCCCATTATTATATCTCCTTCAACTGTGGCCTCAAAAATAAGAGCACACACACACGCACACGCACACACACACACGTGGTTTCATAATTTACTGCAACGCAAGGCCAAAGCCTGGAGAAGCTTTTATTACTTGCCAATAATCCTAATGTCATGTTGATGGACCAGGTCACTATCGGTGTGTGCTCTCTGTCCGTCTATTTGTCTGTTGTCTCCTTCTGTTCTCCTCACGTTTCTCTTTTGTTCTGTTTCTGTTGTCTCTTTCTCCTTTCCACTTTCTCTTTGCCCTTTTTGTCTCTTGTTTTGTTGATTTTTGCGCCACTATGCATGTATGTACCTGTTGCGCTGTTAAAAAAACTCAGACTCTTGTACGTTTGGTCTTCCTTCAGCTCTGGTGACGCGTGTGCATGAGTCCCACATGGACGTCTCACATTTATGAATAGATTCATGCTCAACCTATGCCGGGGCGCACACACGTATAAATAGACTTTCTATATTCAACTTCTCTCTCACAATCGACAGCTTATCATCAGCCGCTCCAAGGTCATCGCCATGACAGCCGGAAAGATGTTGCCATGGTAACCCCACGCCTCGTCTGCTTCGCAGCAGATTGCTCATAATGGGTCGATAAGCGTTTGTTCAACACAGTTCATTTGGGTCGCGCGTGACAGATAAGTGAGGTTTTTACTCACACGTGTCGGTCTTGAGGCTGTTTGTGCTCCTGAAGTACTGAGGGTTTTCTATCACCGGGATCTTGGTCATGCCGATCATTACCGCGTCAGGGCCCATCTCTGAGGACGAGGGGGTGTTGCTGCCGTTAGAGACATGATGAAGAGGAGAGGCCGAGTCGTCGTCGTTACTGATCACCGAAGATGGTCCTGAGAGGGCAGAGAAAGAGGGAGTTCTCAGTTATCTTGACAATGAGGTCCTGCGTGTGAGACGGAACATGTCAGTACACGTAGCAGCAGCCCTGTTAATGGTGTAAAGACACAAGAGAATGAATTCAGTGGTTAAGCTGTTATTAGCAGAGATTGAAGAGATGCGATCATAAAGCGGGGAGGTTAAGCTGTTAATATTGATCACAGTAGACATCTAAGAGGAGAGAGATACATCAGTTATATTCATAACATTAGAGTGTGTAAGCTATAAAACGGACCTGCACATTTGTATTCATGTGTTTTTAGCAACACTAATCACCCCCTAAGCTTTCAGTGACTTTTGAAATGAGTCGCATTACAAAGCTTCAATTGTGATCATAGAAGTAGAGTCAAGTACAGTTTGTTACTATCATTGCATCTAACACAGGCTTCACCCTCAAATAGGGCTAAAAGAGCTCCGTATGCAGAGAGCAAGCGCTTATTGCTTGTCTGACGGTTGAGCAGTGTCTGGCACCCTCTCACAAGTCCTTTACAGTGTCGGGATTGGGGGGAATTTCTGTCACGTTCCGAAACCACCAATTTGAGGAGGATGCATAGTGCAAAACAAATGCAGAGTTATGGTGCAAAAAGGGAAACCTGGCTCATCTTTGTCACCTTTATCATTTAACAAGAGTGCTGTGTTGGCCAATGCACATTCCTAGTTTCCTACTTTGTGACACTGCACTGTGTTGCAGTGTTTTTAGTGGTCATGAGGCATCAAACTCATGGATCTGTCACTCCAACTGAACTGGATCTTATTTCCTGTTTCACCGTTGCTCAACAACACAGCTCCTTACATTGCTGAAAGCAGTGCTGGCTGGACACCCACTTTCACCACACCTAACCTTCTTGCTATGCAGAAGGTGGAGGGAAGTACATCCTGGGGCTGACCGCATGAGCCACACAGCACTGGCCAACACACACATCTTAATGTGCAACAGCACTGCAAGAAGTCAGAGGAGGACCGACAATTGCATAAGACAAAGTTAGACTCCTGTTGATAGGATATGTGGAAGAGAATTTGTAAATTTACGTGTGTGGAAAACAAGTGACTAAGCCTGCGAGAGTCCTATTAGAGGGCTAGGCATGTAGAAAAGCACGAGGAACTTTGTCAACAGTGGTTGTTTGAGTGCTGGGTTATTGTTTTGTTTAGGTCAAGCTCTGCAGCATTTAATGATGAAGTCAAGGAAAGAGGGCAATGAAAGAGTATTTCTCCAAAGCTGGGTAACCGAGGGAATTAATGTATGTCCTCAAAGACGAAGGCATGTAATCTAGGAACCCGGTGGAGAAAAGATCTCTGGAGAATAAGCTTTTCTCTATCAAAACTTAGATTTCTGTCACTTTTTCAGTCAGAAAACACTGAATGTTAGGGCTGAACGATTTCGAGAAATGATCTAATTGCGATTATAATTGACTGCTGATTATTAGAGGGAATGATTTGCATCAATATTCAAATTTTCATTGAAAAACATATTTAAATGATTAAATTGTTGCAGGGATCTGTACCAAACAAATATGTTTTCTGAAGTCTGTAGATTATGTGTTGTGGAGGGCCGGACCAATAGTCTGAACTCAATCCTGTTCAATATTATTCCACCTCTTTATAAAAAGTAGTAAATTGTATGATTTTGATAAACTGCAAGTGGTAAGAGTAAATGTTATGATCAGTGGTGGAATATAACAAGTATATTTGCTTAAGTACTGTACATAAGTACAAATTCAAGGTACTTTACCTGAGTATTTCCATTTTATTCAACTTTGTACCTCCACTCCACTGCATCTCAGAGGGAAATATTGAACTTTTTACTCCACTACATTTGTCTGGCAGCTTTAGTTACTTGGCACATTGCAATTTTTCAAACCCTTCCTAACTATCCAAACTGAACAACAGAGTATAAAGTTGTTAAAATAAGCTCCACCTTAAACATCTACAGCAGGAATAATGATCCAAATAATATACATTTGTAATATCCATCGCACACATTCACGAACGTACTCACTTACGTAAATTGAGAAAAAAAAACAGCAACAGTTGCCTTCAAAATAAAAGCAATGCAGCTGTATTCCATGCATGATGTATACTTATTTACGTTTTATTCCTAATTTCCCATTTTAAAGGTCTGATTTAGATTAATCGTTCAGCCCACATGGATATTAAAATCCATGTTTCATACAACAGACAGTTTGGAACAACATGAGGCATGGATCTGGAAACAGAAGAGAGGTGAAATAGAAGTGTCAGACACTGAGCCCAACCGTTTTACAGATAAATACTGTGTTTTGGCAACAGAACGGAGGTGTTATTAGTTTTTAATGAAGACAGTGAGCACGGTCCATGAGGCTGGTTCCATCTCGACAAGTGTGTTGATTACAGCACACTTTCATGGCATTGCAGCTAATATTCTGTGTCATTAGGTTGAGTGCCAAAGCAAACAATACCAGCACTAAATAGTAACTACGTTTGCAAGTGCATACTGGCACCCACTCTCGCGCATACAAATAAACACAGCACAACACACAGAACAATGCTGCTTAACACTTCTTCTGTGACCTTTAACCCCTAATGTGTATGCTTAAAACTTACAACCTTACAGGATATTTTCACTTTTTTTTTGTCTCTAAACAAGATCCACATGCCCGTATGCAAACTGAAATCACAGTAGAAAGAGCTTCCAGTGCTAACACACAAAATAACTTAATGACAACCGGCAACACTTGTAAATCATCGTAATCACTCAGGTACATGGAGGGGTTAGCAAATTACTGCTTTTCAGTACATTGTCCTACAAGTACTGTAATAAGAGCTTGTGAGTGATGGTCTCTTTCATGCCTCCAACTAATTTATGCATTCTTCACTGATCTAGGGGTGTGAACGAGAGAAAGCGAGTGTCTGTGTGTGTGTGTGTGTGTGTGTGTGTGTGTGTGTGTGTGTGTGTGTGCATAAGGCTCTTTTAAAGAGCATAATTGGATGCTTCCATCTAGTCTTGGTTTTTCATCAGCTCTTCACCGTGTGTCAGTAGAAATAAAAAATAACACTAAAGACAAGTTAGAGCAAGGGACCCATCGACCAGGAAGCATTATTCTAAATTACACACACTCGGACTGAACACACAGTCCTTCTCCAGACCTCTTCAAGACACGAAGCATTAGTGAACAGAAAACATTGTATCATGAGTTGAGATTGATTTCCCATGAGCTCAAAGTACAGATGTATGTGGTGGGTTGTGCTGAATTATAACAGTGGTTGACATCGTTCTTTTCCTCTGTCCCTGGCCTCATATCAGGCTCTAGTGCCGCTGACAGGGCTTGATTGAGAGGAAGAAACAGAGTTTGTTTTTGTGCGACGATGTGTGTGTGCGTGAGTGTATGTGAGAGTGTGTGTGTGTGTGTGTGTGTGTTGGTGACTCGTGAGGATTGAAAAGGTCTTGAGAGGGAGAGAGTGAGAGCACAATAGTTAGTTTTTTTGTGTGGGGATGTGCTTGCTTACTCTAAGTGTGTGTTTGTGTGTCTAGCTGTAGTGTCTTCCTGCAGCATCTTTCTGTGTCCAGGATCAGACATGTATGCTAATGTGTCACTTTCAATGAATGGACCCTAAAGAGTAATGAACGGCGAGCGAACGATGAATACCAAACAAGTTGTGGGGTGAATTAATTAAACTCTTTGCAATTTTCAGATGTAACTCACAATTGTTTTCACACATTACAAATAATTGCTACCTTAGGAAAATCATGTCAACCTCACTCCAAAATGTCAACTTGTCATGCTTTTAACAAAACAGTACAATATTATTTGTATTATCAGTTTTAGTTGTAGTATAATAGTACAATGTGGATTTTTCTCCTTGTATTTTGTAATATATTGTATCAATCTTTTTTTTTTGTGTGGAAGGGGCAATAAAGAAGAAAGGTAAACAGCTTTGTTTTAAACTTTCTGACAATGCAGATTTTCTGGATGATTCTAGATATTTCTATTTTTCAATCCTAAAATGAGGATGGAAATTGTCAACCCATGACGGCACATTTAATCATTCGGTTTCTCTGAATACATGCAGATCACCAGATGAAGAGATAATTGTGTTTGGTTTGATCGGTTTCAATTAAAACTCGATTTCACTCAAAACGTAAAAACAGCTATTAATTGTAAATACTGTCAGAGTTGTGTATTTTATTCATGTTCTTAAATGGAGGAATACTTTTGTTTCCCCTTAAATTGAGACTATTCAACTCAGCGTTACTAAATGAGAGACGGACATTTTGCATGTTACAGCTGCCAGTACCAAACAGCTGGCTGTCCGAAAAAGGGCGTGGTTTCCAAATTTCTTTCACTGGAGAAATTTTGCATTCAAATGATGAAGCTGTTGGTTTTGGGCAGTTCGAGTTGTCTAATTACTTGCAACGTTTACCGATCTGAGACTATCTCAACGTATTAAAGGGAAGAAGATAAACATGCTGCTCATGAGAGCGCAGGTTATTGTCTGTCAGCATGTGTGTGTTTGTGTTGGGAGGGGCTGAAGATCATTAACGCAGAGAGGTCCCAGGGTCAGATCGTTATAAATACCGTTAAGCTGAGGGGGTATGTGTGTGTGTGTGTGTGTGTGTGTGTGTGTATGAGAAGGCGAGGTGGTAGAGGGTCCACAGGGAGTGACCTGGTAAGATGTAAAGTGGGGGGAGGTGGAGGGAGGAAGAGAGAGATGGACAGGAGAGGTGAAGGTATAAGTGGGGTCAGGTCACGACCCAACACTGTTAATAGACATGGAACCGATGTTTAAACTGGTGGAGACTGGAGCTCCTCGCAGTCTGGCGAGGAGCAGGTCAGGTTAACAGTCAATAACACACATCGCCTTGCCTTCAAAGTTCAGGTCATGACTGAGAGGTGGGTGGCAAAAGGATGAGCACTAACAATACCAATTATGTCATTGTTTTTAAGTATGTTTGTCTTTTTAAATAACAGGTAGAGGCACT